GAACAAATAATCTATTTTCAATCTCCATGGATTTACTTATTTTGGATATGCCATATATAAGAAATCATACAGTATGTGAACTTTTATGTCATTTACTTAACACAATGTTTTCTTCCTTTGTATTTCTATTATTTATTTATTTAGTCATGCTGAGGGTCAAACCCAGGGCCTCACACATACTAGGCAAGTGCTGTACCCCTGAGCCACATCACAGCCGAGCATAATGCTTTCAAGGTTCATCTGTATTATAGTGGGTGTCAATGTTCCATTGTATTGGGTTCCTGTTCCTTTCCCATTATTGAAACATGCCACACTTAGGAAAAATGAATAGTCCATAGATAAATGCATGTGTTTCTGGACTTTTAATGTGTTTCATAACTATATCTCTAGTCTTAAAGCAATACCAAATTGCTCTGATTTCTTTTGATTTGTGTTGTGATGCATTTTCTACATGTATTCTTACTTGATGGATGTTTGGGTCATTTTATATTTTGTCAATAGTTAACAATGTTGCTATGAACATTTACATACAAATATTGTTTATGAACTTGCTCCCACTTTGGGGATATATAATTAGGGGTAGAATGGCTCATGAATGTGGTAATTCTGTTTGTTTTGAAGTCTATTACAGTCAATCCTGTTTTCCAAAGCAATGGGGAAATTTTGTATTTCCATCCATAATGTCAAAATATTTTAATTTCTCTACATTCTTGCCAACACTTTTTAGTTTCTGTGTTGTTGGGGCTTATACATATATATAGTTATTCTAATGGGTGTGAAGAGGTATCAGACTGTAGTTTTGATTTGCATTTACCTCTTGACCAATGATTTTGAAAATCTATTCTAGTACTTATTGGTCTTTTTCAAATCTTTGCAAAAATGCCTATTTAAGTGCTTTGCGCATTTTTAAATTGAAGTTTCTTTTGTCATTGCTGCTGCTGAGGTCTATAAATTCTTTATATATTCTCTATGATAAACCCTTATTAGATGTATGATTTACAAATATCTCTTTTACTATTCCATAGTTTCATCTTCACATTTTTGATAGTATACTTTGAAGCACAAACAAGTAATGTTGAATTTAAATTTATGTATTTTTTCTTTTGGTTTTTGGTGTCATACACAAGAAATCATTGCCAAGCCTAAAGTCTAGAATATTTACCAAAATTTTGTAAATGTTTTAGGTCTGTGGCTTTCAAATATAAGTTTTGTTCATTTTGAGTTGATTTTGGTAAATGATATGAAGTAGGAATGAAGCTTCACTGTTTTTATTTCATTAAGGTATATAATATGATGTATATGACATAATCATACAATGTGATTTATATGCACAATGTATAAGCACATTGTGAAGTGACTACTATAATCAAGAAAATTAACCTATTCATCATCTGATACTGTCATTTTTCCTTTGTGTGTGTGTTAAGGCTACTCAAAGTCTACTCTCTTGGCAAATATTCAGTATACAATAACCAACTTCATTCTTTTGTACACAATTATCCAGTTGCCCCAGAACTATTTGTTGAAAATTATTCTTTTCCTATATAATAGAAATCCAGCCATATAAAAAAATCAATTGTCCACAGTCATACAGGTTTTAGAGCATCAATTGTATTTCATTGACTTAGACCTATATTCTTAAGACAATACTAAATTGCTTTAATTTGTTTTTATTTGTATTCAGCTTTGAAATCAAGAAATCTTTTTCAAGATTATCTTGGTTCTTCAGGATCCTTGGCCCTTACATGTAAATTTTATTGTTAATTTTTCCACTGATGAAAAAAAATTATTAGAATTTGAACACAGGTTTTCCCTATGTAGTCATTCATAGGGAAATAAAGTGAAATAAAGGTTCTCCCTATGTAGTCATTCAAAGACATTGGCTGATAAGGGCTTCATCATCTGCAATTACACCTGCTGGACTATGAAGCCTTTTCAATATCCATGACAGAAGAGAGACACCTGGAGGTAATGCATGTGCTCCAACCTACCCAGAAATGACACAGACTAAGCCCTCCTATGGTTCATTTTCTACAGCTAGTACCTGTCTCTGTCATACTGCAGAGGGCAAGAACGTGCAGAGAGGTAGCTGAAAGTCTTGGGCAACACTATTTTTATAACCCCTGCTACCTCAATTTTTATAAACAATAAAATATTAATATATTGAAATTTTTGAAACACCTGATACATGCAAGAAATTGTTCTGCAGTTGATATATATGTGATCCGATAATCTTCTTAACCATTGTATGAGATCTGACATTATAAGTTTCATTACTGATAAGACACTGAAATTTGATAAATTTGAATTACTTAGTATGAATTCAGGCAATCTAACAAACAAGACAAACATGTAACCATGGCACATGCCTAGAATTAAAGGCTCAGAGTACACTGTAAAAGAGAAAATGAATCAATTTTCTTTATGGTAAAAATATATGATAAAACAAAAACACTCCCAGATCGCCAATGGGATGATATGGTAAGTCCGTGTGATTTTATATTTGGATGAAAAGAGTCTTTAGATATCTTTGAGAAAAATGGAAAATGCATTACCCTGGGGATAATTAGAGCTAATAAGTAACAATATCATATCATTAAAAATATCTAGAAGATTTCATTGTAGAGGTCTTTCATCTCTTTTGTTAGATTTATTCCTGAATATTTTATTTTCTTTGAGGCTATTGTGAATGGGATCATTTTCCAAATTTCTCTTTCAGTAGATTCATTATTGATGAATAGGAACAGGTTTTAATCATAGGTGTTGATTTTATATCCTGCTACTTTGCTGAATTCATTTATTAGTTCTAGAAGATTTTTGGTGGAATTTTTGGATCTTCTAAATAAAGAATCACATGATGAGGTGTATATATGCCATAGAATATTACTCACCTTAAAGAAGAATAAAATGATGGCATTTGCCTGTAAATGTATGCAGCTGAGAAATATCATGCTAAGTGAAATAAGCCAATCCCCCCCCAAAAAAAACACAAAGCCTAAATGTTTCTCTGCTGTGCAGATGCTAATTCACAACAATGGGGTCTAGAGAAGAATAGAGTTACTTTAGATTAAGGAGAGGTAAGTGAAGGGAGGGGAGGGCATATAGAGGTGGGAAGCATAGTAGAATGAATCAGACATCATTACTTTATATTTGTATAAGACTACATGACTAGTATGATTCTATAACATATACAACCAGAAGAATGAGAAATTATACTACATTTATGTATGATGTATCATAGTTCATTCAATTGTCAGGTATAACTAATTAGAACAAATTAAAAATACAAAAAGATAGAAGAAAAGACTTTGCATATTTCCATCATAAAGAAATAACAATATTTTAAATGATGGATAACTTGTGTTCTAAGATTGAGAAACAAGGTCAAGATATAAAAATCACACTCTATATACCAAAAGATATTCAGCTATGATCTCTCAGTTAAAAAATAAAAAGAAACATTAAAAAAATAAAAATAACTTGACACAAAATAAAGATTTTGCTGGGAAAACTTGAGTCATCTTTCAGAAACCTCAAATAGGAAATTAATTTATTTTAGTAAAATAAAAACCAAATTGAGTGCAAAAAAAGATACAATGAAATTAGAAAGCACTACTCTTGGGAATTAAAACTGATAGAACCACTTCTATAAACTATTTGAGATTTTCTGTAAACATTCTTAGTTTGTCCCTATGTATTAGCTTCTGAAATTTAACATGACTCCAGGTGACTTTGTTTCAGAGAGAATAGAATTCAATTCTACTCGATTTGACCATCTTTTATTAATATGAACATTGATAAATCAAACAGCTCAATTTAATATATGTATCATATGATAAAGTGATCCAATTCCTGAGTATTTGTCCTAATGAAATACAAGCCTCTGCTTGAACAAGAAAGATCACCCAATGTTTATATCAGCCTTATTCATAATCACCAAAATACTAGAATTCACAAAATGGTCCTGCACTAGGAAATGACAAAGACAATGTGTACAGTTGATTTTATAAAACACAAGTCCAAAAAATTAAAAGTTCCATTAAAGATACAGTTAACAACACACATGGTCCTCCAAATGAATTTCTGCTAAATGAAAGATGCCTGAATCAAAACCCACATGTTCTAGTGAAAGACATTCTTGCAAAAGAAAAATTAGATGGAAAAATCTCTTGAGTGGTTTCCAGGAAACTGGGTAAAAGAGGAGGTTGGCCATCAAGAAGCTTGGGAAATTAGTTCAGGTGATTTTGGTAATGGTTGCATAGCTATGTATTTATGTAGTCAAAACTGTAAAAAAAACTGCTAAAAAGTGTGCATGTCACTGTTATTGATACATTAACATGTGATACAAAACACTTATGCATACTCAAAATTTCCAAATTGGTTGCCACAGGCAGTTTAAAAGTTTCTTCCTTAGGAAAGAGGAAAGAAGAGTTACAGATGCTCCCTTGAGGGGCATCCTCTGAGACATCCATGTCTTTATAATTCACTCCTGGTCCCTCTGTATTAGCTTCTGAAAATCAACATGACTCCAGGTTACTTTCTTTCAGAGGGACAAAATTTCAGTTCTGCTCCCTTCCACCATCCTTTATTTATCTTATTTTTGATAGTTCCTTGTGCACACAGGAATTCTCTTGATTTGGGGATTCTCTCTGAGCCTGCAACATGGCTAAAGGAATACCTGAAAATAAAATTTATATTAGGTGACTTGAAAATGATAACCCCCTGTTAGCTTGTTGTTTCATGGCCATTCCCTTATTTGCTATTTAAGAGCACAATTCTGCAAATATTGTGGAATAGATAGTTTTATTGTGTTTATTTTACAATTGAGAAGGGGGTTAGTTAACTCCTCCAAAGACCAAGAAGAATGCATGAAAGACTCAGGACTTGAATCCCTGAGAATAGGACTGTTTTGATTGTTTCCTTCCTGCCTTAGACAGGTTGGGACCATTAACTACTACACGAGACAGACAACTTCTCTAACATAATGGAACCATTAATCTATGGTTGAATTTCAGATTTCAAGCTCCCTGTTTAAGATTGTTATGTTTCCAAGGAGGTAAGTAAGCTTCTATTTTCAATAAAACTTAGTTTAAAAAAACTGTAATTCTAGCAAAATAGTAGGACAGCTATACACACTATGACTTACTGACCACAGAAATGGGTTTTGAATGTTTTTCTTTAAAACTGAAATAGATCTGGGATGTGTGTATGTCAAAGTTTACATCAGTTGAGTTTCGTGATACTTGGAAATTATCGTTATTTTGCTAAACTAAGATCACCCACCCCTGAAGCTTGGCATACAGCCACCTACTTCTAAGCCAATGCCAATACAGTCCATCATTGCATTTGGATAATATCATTATAGCTAACACTTACAAGGTTTTAATCACCAGGAATTTAGATGTTATTTTCTGTGTATTTTCACATTAAATTCTCACAGTAATATTTTGAGTTACATACCATCACTTTCTTCATTTTTTGTGTGTGATGTAGGATATATATATATACACATACACAATAACATGATATAATTATACACTCATATATAATTATATACATGTTTCTCAACATATGTTGTTGTATATTCATAAAATTTGTCAAATATTAATTTAAATTACATAAAATTTAACAAATACCGTTTGACTTGGATTGAATTTTCAAATTCAGAAGTTTGTATCTCCAAAAATAATTAATGCACTAACTTCTGTGGTTAAGGTCATATTTACATATTCTTGAGCTTAAAATCTACATTATTGCTATAAGAAAATAATTCACCTGTTGTATAAATGTTTCATTTTGGGGAAATATCTATTTCATAACACCTGTTGACACTCTTGTCCTTCATTTCTCTTTGCTAAAGAGCATCTCCTGATTCCCAAATAACATGGATAGAGAACATGACAGAAGTGACAGAGTTCATCCTACTAGGACTCACCAGTGCCCCAGGACTACAGGTGGCCCTCTTTATCATGATCACCCTCATCTACCTCATCAGTGTGTCTGGGAACCTTGGGATGATTGTTCTCATTCTCACTGATTCTCGTCTCCACACTCCCATGTACTTTTTACTTGGTAGCTTGTCTCTGGCAGATTTTGGCTACTCTTCTGCTGTCACTCCCACAGCCTTGGCTGGGCTCCTTGTAGGAGACAAGGTCATCTCCTACAATGCCTGTGCTGCTCAGATGTTCATTTTTATAGCCTTTGCCACTGTGGAAAATTTCCTCTTGGCATCCATGGCTTATGACCGTTTCACAGCTGTGTGCAAACCCCTACATTACTCTACCACCATGACTACAGGTGTGTGTGCCTGTCTGGTCATAGGCTGCTATGTCTGTGGTTTCCTGAATGCCTGCATCCATGTTGGAGAAGTATTCAGTCTCTCCTTCTGTCAGTCCAATGTGGTCCATCACTTTTTCTGTGATGTTCCAGCAATGATGGCTCTCACTTGCTCTGATAGGCAAGTCAATGAGCTGGTTCTTTTTTATGTAGCCAGCTTGAATATCTCTTTTGCTCTTTTGGTTATCTTCGTATCCTACCTATTCATATTTATCACCATCCTAAAGATGCGCTCAGCTACAGGATACCAGAAAGCTCTGTCCACCTGTGCCTCCCACCTCACTGCAGTCTCCATTTTCTATGGGACTCTAATCTTCATGTACTTACAGCCCAGCTCCAGTCACTCCATGGACACAGACAAATTTGCCGCTGTGTTCTACACCATGGTCATCCCCATGCTGAACCCTGTGGTCTACAGCCTGAGGAACAAGGAGGTCAAGAGCGCATTCAAAAAGATAGTTTTACAAGGAAAGTGTTTCTAAGATTTTGATTTTAAAATTGTAGGATGTATAATAACTTAATATCTTTCTTCTCAGATCTTCTCCATGTGCTGAATCACATATTAAGGTGCATATGGAAGTCAAGTTTCTAAAGTCAAATACTTACCTCCTCAAAAGTCAGTTTATTGTAGAAACAAGGAAACATATCCAGAAATACAATATCTGTACAACAATGGTGAGAGGAGTTACAAGTTGTTTTGGTTCTGGCTTATCAAAAAAAAAACTCATTAAGAATATTTGATTGATTCACTTGATCTATATACATTTTCTCTAACACACACCAGTAAAAAGCACACATGTAAAACAAGAACAAACTTGGGTTATGACCATATTCATAAATATACTAATATGAATATAAGTTTCTCCAGTGATATTTCTCTTTCTGTGCCTTTGCCTATTTGACTTACCATAATTATCTACAATTCCATCAATATTGCTGCAAATTACAGAAACGTGTTTTTTTATGAATGTATTGTGTTCCATTGTGTATGTATGTCACATTTCATTGGCTTTTCCTCAGTTGATGGGCACTTTTTTTCCGTTTCTTGGCTGTTGTGAATTGTGCTACAATGGACACAAGTGTGCAGATGTTTCTGACATTCTGATGTCACTTTCTTTGGTTGTATTACCATGATGGTGGGATTCACTTAGGTATTTTCATATGTGTACATAATAAAATAATGTTAGATTTATTTTATATCTTTGGTATTCTTATACTACTCCTTCCTTTCATTTTCCTTTGTCTAATCCTGCTGAACTTTTCCTTTTCCCCTCCCTGCCTTTACTGTGGTTTAGCTTTCACATATCAGTAAAAGTATTCGATCTTTGGTTTTACCAGCTTTCTGGATATACTTTATCCTAGTGGATTTGCTACAAAAAATTAACAGACACAATGGTAAAGACTGTGAATTCTAGAGCATGCTGCGTGAGTTTTAACTTGCTATGGGATGGATGTGAGGTATACCCCAAAAACTCATGTGTGAGATAATGCAATAAGTTTTAGAGAAGAAATTATTGGGCCATGACAGCCTTAACCCAATCAGTGAATTGATTCCCTGATGGGATTAACTGAGTGATAACTGAAGGTGGGTAGCATGTGGCTGGAAGAGATGAGTCTTTGGGGGCATATATTTTGTATCCAGCAAGTGGAGTCTCTGTTTCTCTCTGCTCTTTTGATCATCATGTGAGCTGCATCCCTTTACCACATTCTTCTTCCATGATGTTCTGACTCACCTGGAGCTCAAGAGGAATGAAGTCAGCCTTCTACGGACTTATACCTCTGAAACCATGAGCCCTCAAATAAATGTTTCCTCCTCTACAATTGCTCTGATCATGTCTTTCAATCACAGCAGTGAAAAGGCTGGTTAAAACATAATTTCACTTAACTTGTGAAAATAAATGAAACAAAATATATTGTTCTTGCCTTCTCACATGTCTATAATCCCAGAGACTCAGGAGGCTGAAGCAGGAGGATTGCAAACTTGAGGTCTGCCTCAGCAACTTAATGAAATCCTGTCTCAAAAAAATAATAATAAGCCAGGCATAGTGGTGCACTTCTGTAATCCCAACAGCTTATAGCCTGAGACAGGAGGATTGCAAGTTCAAAGCCAGCCTCAGCAAAAGTGAGGCACTAAGAATTCAGTAAGACTCTGTCTCTAAATAAAATACAAAATAGGGCTGAGGATGTGGTAGAGTGCCTCTGAGTTCAATGTTTCTCAGTGTTAGAGCACACTTACGTTCAATCCTTAGTACAACCAAAATATATATGTATATATGTATATAAGCTAACATAAATATATATGTGTATATATGTACATATAAATATATATACCACATAAATATACATGTATGTATATATGTACATATATACACATAAATATATATGTATATACATAAATATATATGTTTATATATTCTTAGTGAACAACATGAAACATGATATATTAAAAGGTTATAAATGAGAAATCATGAACTAATATATGCATGTTAACAATTATATAAAATATATAAAATGCCTTGATGGAAAGCATAAATATTAAACTAGATGAAACTAAATTTAGAATTATCATATACAAGTTAGATTTTTAAACTTTCAAAATACAGTTTAGAAAGCAAAGGTATGGAAACACAAAAACAACTCAAGAGATAGGCAGCTTTCCATTTGGATGTTATCACACTCATTGGTTTTTGGTTTTGTTCTTATTCTTTGGGTGTCTTACTGAGGAAGGTGAAGATGAAGATGATTACTGTGCCTCTATGTTGCAGTGTGGGACCTCTGTTTTGTGGTATCTGTGACCAGGTCTTTCATACACTTTGCATTGACATTACTGCAGGGTGATAGGAATCTGGCTTCCCAGCTTCATTCTTCCACAAATAGCTACCCAGTTTTCCCAGCACCATTTGTTAAAAAGATGGTTTTTTTCTCCACCTTATGTTCTTGGCAACATTATCAGTGACAAAGTGAACATTGTAGGGCATGATGTAACGTGGGACATGTTGCATCAGAAAAGAGGAAACTTAACTTGCTGGCTGCTTCCCGCTTCCCAGTCCTGGGGCCACATGTGGCTAAGATAACGCCTGATGATTAGCCAGAAGACATTGCCATGGGTTGTGATGAAGAATCAGACCCACCTCTAGGATAGGCTCAGAACCCCTCTGCCCTCACGACAGCTTGTGTCTCCCATTACTACCTGTAGGATGGGTGTACACGTGAACTCTCCCCACCCTGCTGACCTTTACCCTGATTGGCTCCTGTACATTATATTAGCCGTGTGTGTTTTCTCAATAAACGAGATCCTGCTTTGACTGGTCTCCCTGGCATGTCTGATTGTCCTCTGGCGAGGGAGGGCTGGGTATGGCGGCCAGTCGACCTTTACCTTTCTTGGCCCGTCCTGGTCGGGCATGCTCCCCCAATCTCTCCTGCAGGTCAGGAGGGAATGGGGGGCTAAAGACCCTGACAAACATATCTGTGAGGCTTTGTCTCTGTGTTCTCTACTCCACTGGTCTTCATGTTTGCTGAAATGCCAGTGCCATGCTGGTTTGGTTTTATAGCTCTGCAGTATAACTCAAGGTGATGTCTTGCAAAGTCTGGTTCATAGTGCTCAAGATTGCTTTGCTGAGTCTTTGATTCTTCTGTGTGATAGGATTCTTTTTTCCTTAGTCTGAAGAAGGACATTGATATTTTGATGGAGATTTGCTTTGAATCTATGCATCATTTTTAATTTATGCCATTAAAAAATAATTAATTCTTTCTTTTTAGAGAAAGGGAGAGAGAGAGAGAGAGAGAGAGAATTTTTTAATATTTATTTTTCAGTTCTCGGCAGACACAACATCTTTGTTTGTATGTGGTGCTGAGGATTGAACCCAGGCTACCGCTTGAGCCACATCCCCAGACCAATAATTAATTCTTTCTATTCAAGAATATGAGAATTCACTTAGGTATTTTCATATGTGTACATAGGAAAACAATGTTAGATTTATTTTACTATCTTTGGTATTCTTATACCACTCCCTTCCTTTCATTTTCCTTTGTCTAATCTACTGAATTTCTTCTCTTCCCCTCCTTGCCTTTACTATGGTTTAGCTTCCACATATCAGTAAAGTATTTGACCTTTGGTTTTGGGGGTTGGCTAATTTTACTTGCATAATAGTCTCCAGTTTCATCCATTTACTGGAAATGTCATAAAGTCATCCTCCTTTATGGATAAGTAATATTCCATTCTGTATATATACCACAATACCTTTTTCCATTCATGTGTTGCTGGGCATCTAGGCTGATTTCATAGTTTAGTTATTGTGAACTGTGCTGCTATAAACATTGATATAAACAAGCTGGTCACTGTACTACACTGATTTTAAATCTTTTGGATATATGCCCAGGAATGGGATAACCAGGTCAATTGGTAGATCCATTCCTAGTTTTTTGAGGAATATCCATGCTTCTTTTCAGAGGGGTTGCTGATTCAATGCTCAACTTCCATCAAACTTGCAATGACATGCTTCATAGAAGTAGAAAGAGCAGTCATCAAATTCATTTGGAAAATAAGAGGCCCTGAATAGTCAAAGCAATTCTTAGTGAGAAATATAAAGCAGGAGGTATCACAATCCCAAACTTTATATTGCACTACAGAGGTACAGTAACAAAAACAGCACGGTATTGGCACCAAAATTTGTTAGGGTCTGTAAACAAGTCAGGATGGCACCTGGCAAATGTTAGAGTCTGTAAACAAGTCTGGATGGTGCCTGGCATTTTGCCAGAGGGAGTGGTTTGTGAAGTAACACCAACAAGCCATTAAGTGTGGATATTCCTTATTGGTTGAATCCACTTTGATAAAATTATATAAGCATGGGAAATATCTTATACTAATTAGGATACCATTATTGTGATTGGGCATAATGGTGGGATCACTATGCATTAGTGAATTAGACTAGGAATTAGACCAGAAATACTGCACCTATTAGATCAAAAGCTAGGACCAATGCTTCAACATATGACACAGAAATTACTTCCTGAATAAGACTCCTAAAGCAAAAGATAAAATAAAAATCAACAAATGGTATGGCATCAAACTAAAAAGCTTCTTCACAGCAAAAGATACAATCAAATGCATGAAGAAAGAGTCTACACAATCAGAGATGATCTATGCCACCTGCACCTCAGAGAAGGTATTGATTTACAGGATATACAAAGAACACAAAAAGTTTAACACACACATACATATATATATATATATATATATATATATATATAAAACCCAACCAATAAATAAGCAAAGGAATTGAGCAGACCCTGTTGAGGGCCACAACCAAGTCAAGATGGCACCTGGCACTTTGCCAGGAGGAGTGGTTTGTGAAGCAATGCCAGCGAGCCATTAAGATGATGAGAATTCCTTAATGACTGACTGCTGTATCTAGATGATGTTAGTTGAGTTAAGTTGTGTGTAATTAGTCGGGTATATATACCTCTGCTGTCCTGTAATAAA